GATGCCTGTGCACTGTGGCTCCAGACCCCCGCTGCCACCCGTGCCAGCCCACCAGCAGGTGTGCAGGGGATGGGTGCACCTGGTTGCTGCACGCCTGCGGGCGCTTTCTGGGAGAGCAAAGAGCTACGGGGCACAGCAGGAGGGAAGGCACACGCACCCCTCACACAGGCTCACGCAGCGGTACCCTACCTTAATCCCAGGCACAGCTGCCTTCTCAACCAGGAGGGTGACGAGGATGAAGCCTCGCAGGCTCTCTCCCCCGGGCAGCGAGATGATGGTGTCCAGGTTCCTGCAGGAGTGACCAGCCGAGTGTGTGGGGGCTCGGAGAGTGCTTGCTCGGGCTTTCCCCGCACACCCAAGGACATGGTGAGCCCTTGGGGCAAAACCCTCCTGGCTGCAGAGCCTCTTGCCTGCACCCCGGGCAGTGACGAGCTGGCACAGAGCAAAAGGAGATGGGGGCTGCTCTGGTTTAGAGGCATCTGCACCCCTCCCCACGCACTCGCTGGGCTAAAAGTCTGGCCCGTGACTAGAGCAGCCCACGGCTCAGCCACGGCCGTGGCACTCTGCTGTTACCGCAGGGGCAGCTGCGTGCCAAAGACTGAGCTGGGTTTGTTGTGCTCGTATATCAAGAGATAGGCTCAACCTAAGCAGAGCCCCGCAGTGTCGGAGTGCTGAGCCAATTCAAACAGAACTAGTACTGTTAGAAAACAAATACGCATCTTAAATACTTACTCCATTTCCAGAGGCCTGAAGGCATTTCGGGTATTGCCAACAAATGCACAAGAAAAGGAGAGAAAAGGAGAGATGGTATAAATGGTTCAGCAATGGACTGTGGTCCATGGAAGACAAACGAGCTGCTGGCCCGTGGAAAGCCCCGTCCCCCAAGAAGATGATCCCAGAGGCCCCCGGTCCCCCACCCCAGGCACCCATGGCTACAGCCCAGCAGCCCCAGAGAATGCTGCTGCTCCCTCCTGCCCGGAAAGACCCTTCCCCAGACCGTGTCCGTGAGACAGGACCCCAGTGATGGTTTTTCAATGTTTTTGGCAGAACAAAAGTGATTTGGGAACAATTTGTCCCCGTTGTGCTGGACAGGACCTGCTGGTGCTCGTCGCTGCGCCCCGACCACGGAAGGAGCCGCGCTCCGTCTGCCAGCATTTGCCCATTTACCCACTGGTGTTCTTCCTCCTCCAGTTGGCCAACACGAAGTCCGCATGGCTGAGGATAGGTGGGAGGCCAAGGGCCTGCGAGACCTCCCAGAAGGGGACGGCGAGATTTCGGGGCAGGACCTGAAGGGCACAAAGCACAGAAGACTGGGACACTGTCAGGCTGGTGAAGGTGCTGGCCATGCTCCTGCTGTGGCCTCAGGAAGGGGGCTTTGCTCCCGCGGGATGGGTCCCAGGGACCAACATCAGCCCCTGGATCCCAAGGAGCGGGTGAATCTCCTCCGCATTGCTCTTACCTTCACGGTGCCCTCCTCGCCCTCCTGCCAGAGGTAGCCCATCGTGACGAAGCTGAGCACCAGGTGGGCCAAGTGCAGCTCCTCGTGCCCTCGGAGGTGCCGGGCGCTCAGCTGCGGCATCTGCCAGGGAGACCCTTGGGAGCAAGGGGCACCACAGGCGATGCCGAGAGCCCCCGCGGTGGGGGCTTCCCCACCAGCCCGGGAAGACCCTGCCGCTGCCTCACCCTGCCTTCGCTGTCACCCTGCCAGCCTCCATCCCCCCCGCCCCTGTGGGATTTGCTACTGATTTGCTGTTGCTGGTTTGTGAGCATTGGCAGCAAACTGCAGGATTTTACTCAAAAAGGTGTCCCTCTCCCTTGCGCAGGGATGGACGCGAGAGCAGCTGATCCCCTGTGCTGGAGGGGTCCGAGTCCTTGCTGAGGACGCGGCTCTGCTGTTGGTTTGCTTTTTGGGGCGTCCACCAGATGCTGCTGTGTCAGAGCAAGGTTGGAGAGCGCCCAGACCAGGCGAGAGAAGACAGGTACCTGGTGAACTCGAGAGCGGAGCCGATGGCTCGCGATGAGCTGAGGGAGGTCGTGGGCAATCTCCATCCAGGGAGCATAGGGCGCCGGGCTCTGTCTTGGTAGAGAGAGGTGGGAGGGAGGGCTGTTGATGCCCGAGACCAGCAGCACACGGCGCAGCAAGGCTGTGCCTGCTCTGCCCCCAGTTCCCGAGCAGCTCAGGACCGAGACAGGGGGAGAGGTGCCCAGGGGTCAAACCCGGGCTCAGCAGAGCTGGCCATGGAGCCATGCGAGAAGCAGGGACAGGCGCGGGGCAGAGCGCAGCCCCCTCCCCGAAAGAGGAGGCTTCAGGGTGTGGTGGGCGGGGGGGACACGCTGCCGCTGCCATCCTCTGCGAAATAGCCAGAGGTTGTGGGAAAGGGGACCCGGAGCATCCCAGCGCCGGCGGGGAGGGGGGGACAGCTCGCAGCAGCCATGGCACTGCCAGCACCAAGACTGGGAAGAAGTCACAGGGCTTCGAGGCAGTGGGTCTGGGGAGTGCTGGGTTTGGGGGGCAGTGGGGTGGGCACATCCCCTGCACGCCCACGGGTTGGGTGCTGCGGGATGGCCACAGCGGTCCTGCACTGGGGCAGCTCTGGGGACCTCAGCAAGTCACTGAAAGGCAGACGGAGCCTGTCCGTCCTGGGGTGGGGAGGGTGCTGGGATGGGAGCAGAGGGCTCAGAGATAAGCCCAGCCCTGGGTAAACTCTTCGGAGTCGAGGCCGGCTGAAAGACATTGTCCAAACTCTGCTGCTCCGGACCCGGCTCCGGCTGCAATGCAGAAGAGCCGTAGGGTCTTGGGTGCATAGGGGATCTTCGCCGTCCCGCTGCGCTGCGTTTGCAGGGCTTTTCCTGGGAATCTGGCGGGGCTGCGCTCGCGCCTGCGGGGAGGGGAGGGAGCGGACACCCCCCCTGCCCGGGCCCCCAGCGTCCATCCAGCCTTGCACATCCCAGCTAATGGTTTGTGTCTGGTTGCCCTCTTGTAATACCAGCCTGCACGATCACGAATTAATGGGCGACAACAAGTATCTGCCTGTCCCTGAGCGCTCCCACTGTGAAGTGAGCCCAGGCATAAATGGCATTGCTTTTCGGCACGGAGACCTGCAGCCTGGCCGCTCGCCTCCTGCTCCCTGAAACCCTGTAAAGCCAAGGCCAAAGTGTGAATCGCAAAGCTCCTTCTCCTCTCCCCTGTGCCACTCGCTGCAGCTAGCTTAATCATGTTTAAAGTGAGGGGTTTGTCCTATGAAACTGTCTGAGTCAACACAACACGTGCCTTCCTCACTGCCTTTTATAGAATCACAGAAAGTTTTGGGTTGGAAGGGACCTCCAGAGGTCATCTAGTCCAACCCCCCAGCAGCGAGCAGGGACACTGCTAACTAGATCAGGGTGCTCAGAGCCCTGTCCAACCTGGTCTTGAATGTTATAAACTGCTAGAGAGTAGCGTTACATTGCAGCCCAGCCAGAAAGCCGCTCACCAACCCCTCTATTTTTCTGCTCTGTGTCTCTTGTGGGACGCAGATGCGGTGGCACAGCCGTCTCCTACCAGAGGATGGGGAAGAAGGAAGCCATACTCCTCGGAGAGCTGGAACCTGGTCAGCGCCAGAGGCAGCGGGGGCTCCTCCGTGCCGGCGC